TTTTAGGTAACTCTATTACAAACAATAATCAAGCTAATGGGAAATGTTGTCATATCTGGCCTATAATTTCCTTGACTAATATACCATTTTATAATAATTGTCTTTCCCCACTGTATGTTTGCAGCATCTCTGAGTGTTTTCTTTTAGAAAGAATAGGAAAACAGAGGATATTTTGCCTAACTGGAGCAATTTGACAAATGTCTAGCTGATGCTTTTTCCACAAGTAGTATATTTTCAAAAACCTAAATATTCAGATTACTGGGTTTTGAAAGAAAAGTTGCACAAAGCACGGATGCTTAAAGGCAGCTAATGTATTGTGCACAGTGCTGGGAACAAGAGGTCTTGAGTCCTGTTCCTACTCTGCCACTTGAACTACCTTATTTCCTTTGAAGTTATATTGCATATTACTAATATAAGCCAGAGGTAAATATAACTTTTCCCATTTTATGAATCAAGAAACCAAGATTTAAAGGACTGAAGTCTGTGGTCATGCAAGCCAGTTTCAGGGCCAAAATTATAACTTGCTTTTCCTGACTTCTGTGTGTGCATTTTGTTCCTCAGAAATATGTCCCAAAAGCCTTTTAGAGACTCATTTTGTCCATCTGTAAAATATGGAGAATGATGTTTATCACAGATGAAAGCTTCCTATATTCAGGCTTTAAGAGTTCCACAGCATCACATCTTCAATAGCAGATGGCAAATGTATTTTAATGTGGACACCTGCTCATTAACAAATGGATTTCCTACAACAGCTCATTTCCAAAGCATGGATAAGGAAAAGGTTTTCTTTCCATCCTGGGACAATTTTCAGTATCTCAGAAATGTTTCTCTTTGCAGTGGGATGCAGCCAAAACATTGTAGAGTTTATTACAAATAAATGGAGTGGGAGACATGCCCTCCCCACACACAAATTTACAAACACCTCTGAATTGCTCAGAACTTTCCTGGGATGTAGAAGATCCAGGTTTAAGTCCTTTCACTGCTATTTTCCCACATCTCAGGCGAATGCCTGGACTACTGAGTTGTAGAATTAGTATCCCCTTTTCGGTCCCAATGAATACTTATTTATGCAAAGTAGAATTTCACCAGCAGTGACCATTATTTCAATTTGGAGATTCAGATCACTGTCTTGAATCAATTCAGCTGAATCAGCTTTGGAGGATTCAGCGCTGATTTGGTGAGATTCGGTGATTCGGCCATAGACTATAATGGGAAATCACTGAAATACCAATAACTTTGTCATTTTTGGCAGATTTGGATGAAAACAGCAGATATGGTATTCCCTTCTGAGGGCATGAAGCCTGCCAAGTTTCAAGGAGACAGGTGCAGGGGTTTCAGGGAAACTGCACCTCAAACTGTTCATGTGTGACTTTGTGTGTGTGTTAAGGTGCAGCGGGATGAAAATTGCAGGAATGATAGCTGTTTCTACATCCCTCCCGCAGAGTACTGTGATTGGAAGGGGACTCAGGGAAAGATCACAGTCACTGGCCAGCTACAGATGTCAGTCTTTTCCCCCCCCTGCTCCCCCCCCCTCTTATCAGTTTCTTTTCCCCTGAAAGACTGCCTTCTGAATCTCCGAATCTTTTTCCAAATCTTTTCTGAATCAGTTTGGAGGCTCTGAATTGATTTGGAGGGTTTTTTTTGTCTCCCAATTCGATTTGGATTCAATGATTTGGCCTCCAAACTGGGCCGAATCTTTTCTGAATCGAATCGGTGACCAAAGCTTCGCACACCCCTAGTAATTTCCCTTTGTCTTTCCATGCTCAGAACCCAATGCAAAAGTTATTTTCTCAGTTTCTCTTTCCCTGAAGTAGTTCTAGACAAACACATACTACAACTAGTACTCTTAGTACTCTTAGTATCCTCTACGAATTACTCAACCTATTTCTTAGATAGGCAGGTAGATTTCAACACCCTCCATTTAAATACGTCAGCTGAGGCAAATATATGTCTACAAACATTGAAGATTAAGAAGTTTCAAGTCTTGATCAAATCTATTTTTTAAGTATTACCGGAAATGGAAATGTGCGGTTGAGTCCTATCTGTGTAATATACCTGTCTGTGTAATAGTATCAAATCCTACTCCCTTTATCCCTGTAAAATGTCCTCATGAAATTTTGGGTTATGTAAGGCCAATGACACCAGTAGGCCAATGATACCAAAGCCAAGAAGGAACGATGAATTAAATCTGTTGCCATGTACATTATTAAAGACATGATGTATTGCAAAAAAGATCTACTCAGGTATATTGGTGGAGCATCTGAGACTGAAGCACTTGGCACTAAGCCCTCTGTAGTTGCCTTCATTCCATATAAAAATGCCTTGCACTGTAATTCAAGTTAATGATATGCCAGTAGTAGATCTGGAGAGCTCTATGAGCTGGGAAATAATGGGAGATGGCTGACATCCTTAAAAATAAGTGGGCTATAAAATAAAGATGTGCTGAGATTAACACACTTTCTTGCAGCTAACAAATGGTGGGGGAAGTACACTTGGGCTGGTTATAAACTATTGCATTTTACATTTTTATCAGCTCAAAAGGTATTTTTTTAATTTTGGAAGATTTTGCAGCAGGCTGAAAAGAAGTCATGATGCAATCTGGCTTGTTTGAAACATTGCTCTTCAAAAATAAAGGACAATAGATTACAAAAAAGTACTTTTCAGTTTTTGTACCATCTGGAAAGTAATCACAATTGAGAAACTTTCTATACGTTTCTTTTTTTCTCTTTCTCTCTCTCTTTGTAGTTAATGGCACATCATGGGTAATGATGACTGGGTGAATGCTGGTTGCCGAATTTTAATTTGTCATTGTCTGTATGTATGAAAACAACAGAAATATGACCTGACATGCAAAATATTTCATGCAGTCTTCCTGTTTCCCCTAGGTAATTCAGCTTGCTACCTAAGTACTGGAAGCAGGACAATTAGATTAAATGAACACATAGTCTGCTCTGAGATGGACATATCTATTGTGTAATTATGGGTAGCCATTGTTTTATTATGGAACTAATTTATCTTGTGAAGATTTTCATGGTCAGAACTGCCAGTCAAAATCTCACCCCAACTCAAGTCTCTCAAGGAGATAGGCCATGAAGTGGATCAAAATAAAACAGTGAATATTTTCTTCCCAGATTTATGCATGTAATCATTTCTTTTCCATAGTTCTGCTTGACTTGTACTCATGGGCCCTGTAAGGGTTTGCCACTGTTCTTGCTTAGGATGGCAGATAAGGTATAAGGATTTGGAACTAAGGCAAAATCTCTGGTTGATGTGAATCCTTTGGGACTTTATTGATTTACTCCAGATGAGTATCGCCTGGTGTTGGATGGTAGATGTAAGCGCATGCTTAAAGCTCACAATATTCTACACAGCCAGGATCCTTTATACTGTAATTATTTTTCTGCGTTGACTGGCCAGTCTGCCAGCTGAGTGTGTACATGTTGTGTGCTGGGGCAATCCTCAAGATTCTCAATAGAAACACAGTTCTCCACATTTTTAGTGCATCAGTGATAGAGTTAATGTCTGAGTGTAGTGGACTCCTTAAAATTATTCCTTTGTGAATCTGTTTTCCTTTCAGAAAAACTATTTGTTACTTTGGAACCCAGTTAACTTAATTAAATATTTGCAGTGTATAAATGTTTTCAAATTAAACACTGACTCCATAAAGTCATCCCAGGTGCTAACTTAGCTTCAGGTCATTAATTCTATTATTTTATGCATTAATACATATGAAGGAACTTTTGTTCTTTTTCTCTGTCAACCCAAGTGCCTGAAGTGAACTTTTTTTCTCTACTCCTGCTAAATTACTAATTAGTTCAAGGCACACCAGAGATGAGAGACTTTGAGATATTGAGAGCTTGTGTTTTCAATCCAAGTTTATTAAGACAATAGTCAGTGCTGTTGTTGAGAGCTATAAAACATGATATTCCTTGTTTTTGTTGGGTAGTGTCAGAACTAAACTGTTGATTAAAACAGGCACAGTGTAATCAAAAGGTAAATTACTTATGTTAATCTATTAAAAATTTGCTTTAATCAGAGCATTTTTCTTTGACCATTGTATGTTTCTAATCAGAACAATGGTGTTATCTGTGACAAAACGTACGGAGTCTTCTGGAAACACTTATCTGCTGAGGCTTCATGAGTGCCAACTCATGGTACCAAACTTTTGGCACTTGGCAATAATGATCTAGTCACCTATGAAGTGATATAAGTCCTGACAGTTCTGAGAGGTAATTGCACAGCAGACAGAGCGCTAATTCACTGAATCTGTCTCCTCATTTTTCTATAATAATAGGTACTAACTTAATGTGTGATAAGCGGTGCTACTGTGCAGTAGTGCAGGCGCATGTCTTTTACGTGATGCTAATACACAGTACACTAATTCTACTGCGCATTAGCACATTAGCATGGCTTTTGCCATGGTGCGCTAATGTGCAGTAGAATTAGACTACTGTACTTTTCGCATTTTGTGTAGATATGCCCAGTTACTGATAAGTAATTTTTCTTTTCAAATGTACATTGCATGCAAACTGAGCAAAGCAAATAAGATACTTCAGGATTTCACAAAAGAGTTGCAATGGACACCTGAAATGAAGCATCAAAACAGCCATTCCCACTTCTCAGTCAACAAGCAGATTTTGTCTTCTGTTGAGGTAAATATGGTGATTTATTGACATAAAAGGCAAAAACCAGATAGTCATATTTATCTGTAGGGACAATAAATCTTTATGTTCAAAATAATAATAAAAAAGAGTAAATCCATATATTTAGAATATAAGTCAAATGTAGGATATATGGAAATAAAGGTGTTTTACATATGTATAGCAACTTTTTTGTAAGATGTCAAAATGCATGGCGAATATTAATGCAGTAAGAACCCATAGCTGTGTGATGTAAGGAAGAATGAATGTTATCACCCACACTTTACAGGTGATGAACTATTACATAAATGTAATGGTTTGCTAATGGTTACATAGCAATACATTTATGGCTAGGAAGTCAGAAGGGAAAGCCTGCCTACATTCAAATCCTTGGGAGTTTTTCTGTGACTGAAGTCTCCTAGCCCCATGTTTTATATTTCCATCTTTTGTTCACTCAGAAACATTTTGCTTACATGTGGGCTACCCCTGTTCAAAAAATTCTGAGGAATGAAGCAATAGATATATTATAGAATTACCATGTGCACACAAATAAGATACATTCACAGATAGTCATGTTCTCTTTATCAAAACATTGGTGCTTTTGGGCAATAATTTTTTTAAATTCCTTTGGTATTATCAAATTACATTTTTAATAATTCATTTATTGAAAAAGAAAACCAAAAACCAAAGGACTTATTTTTAAGGCCCCTTTCATACTGGCACTTTTAAAGGTACAGGGACATGTTGAGTTACACAAGCTCTCAGAGCTTCTGTTATTCTAAGATTATTTTATTATTGCTAATCTGCCTCTAGTACTGGCCTTAGCCATTCTGAGGCTTTGTGCTAACATCTTCTAGGGCCTCTAGGGGTGAGTCTTGAGAAATATCCTCATTTATTACAACTACATTCTCCCCCTACCTTTTTGCTGGCTTTCAAGTCTGCAAATCTGCCATTGACAGGTTTGCATCAGAAAGTAGTGATGTACTGTAACCCTCTCAGGGATTAACACTGGAAAATAAATGGAAATAAACAGAAGATAGGGTTTCTCAGGCTATTTCAACATTTTTGATCTGTTTTGGAATGTATTTAGATGGAATTTTTTAAGGGCTTAGCTTTCACTGAAAAAAAATGCAAGAAAAAATTGAACGTTTTTAGCTCTGAGTATTATTCTCTGACACTTTCTAAATGAGGATGCTGGCAGCATGGTTGAAATACCAGGAAAATGTTGAAAATTTAGTGCACATGAAAAAGGGGTACTGCATAGAATAATTACTGATGTTTTAATTACTATCTTAAATTTCAGAATTGGATCTGGTGAAGATGACTTTTTCAACAGTATCCATTTATCTGTACACAAAGTCTTGGAGGTAGGATGAGATGAGATAGTTACCGACTTCCCTTAGGTACAATAGAGAACCTGCTGTAAGATTAACTTAACTAATCTTTGTCTGTGGAGTTTTTTCTTTACCTGTAGGGATGTCTGGATGTTAGACTGGGTAACAGAAGATCCCCAGATGAAGTGGAAGGCCCTATATCAATAGCAGTTTAGCTGTGGTGGAACCCTGTCATCTGTTCAGGTTTCTGAGCTCTGTGGAGCCGAGCAGAACGAACCCTCTGCTTCTTCCGTTGATAGGGACAGGCCATCTTCCAGGGCGTGCGGATGATTAGAATTTAGAGATAAATGGTGGTCTAATGATCTAAAATCAGGTTTAAGAGATGGATCTCTTCAGTTCTAATCTTAGTTGTGTTCCTGGCTGTTTCAGCCTTTGGTTTGGGTCCATTACTTATCCTCTTGCTAGAAACAGAAAACTGATTTATCTTGGGACTGCTTATCCAGGCCTTTCCAAACAAGCATGAATAGTCATTTACACATGCAGCTTGAATGGGAATTAACTCCAATCAGTCCCTTTGCCCAGAGGGAGTGTGGTAATATTATCTTACAGGGGTGTAGGTTATAGCCGTGTTGGTCTAAGGGCGTCTTTAGCCTGATGAAGGGTTTTTGCACCCGAAAGCTTGCTTAATAATTGTTTTCCAACTATTTAAGTTGGTCTAATAAAAGATACCAGATTCATGCAAAGAACCTTGTCTGTAATATTATCTTGGTACTTCAGAAGTACTTCACAGGTACTAAGGGTGGTATAGTGGCCTTTTAGGATCAGTGGGATGCCAGAATAAAAGGTTTTGCCCCTGGGGAAATTGGTTTTCTGGTTTTGCCCTTTATGTCAGTTATCCCTATTATACAATGTGGAATACAGTTGCAGAAATGTTGTAATGCCCACAAAGTACTTTGAAAATGTAAAATGCTATCTGAGGATAAATAATATTATTTATAAAATATATATATATATATATTTACTATGTAGCCCACCCTAACCCTGAAAATATTTGCATATATTCAACATACTTACCTATTCAAAATAGAGTTTACATACTACAAAATAGTTTTATTTCTATGCTACTGAAAAGAATGCCATCCCTGTTTATCCAATAAACTTGAGAGACGCCTGTAATTTTTGTTCTAGAGATAAACTTTGTGTAATCTGCTCAACAGGACTTCTATTTGATTTTAGTTTATTCATTGATTAAAATGCATGTGCCATCCTTCCCATAAGAGGCCCAGAGCAGCCTGCAACAAGAGAAATTACAAAATAAATTCCAATTTATTGAAATAAGAGAAACTATATAATACAAAATAAATTATAAAATAAAATAGCCTGTAATACAATAAACTCCCCAAACAATGCCCCCAAACTTAAAACTTTTTGTGAAATAATTTCTGAATAGTAATCATAAATTAAGAGCATTATGAACTGAAGTTCTTATCTTCTTAAGGACTTCAGAGTATAAACCTATTCTGGCTTGTCAGTTCTCATCAGCCTAAGGCTTTCCATTTCACAAGAACTAAAGTACTATTTCCAAAGTACATTAGATACAAGAGTTCAGCCCTGCTGAACTGGCCTGCCTGGAAGAAGCCAACTGGCTCCAATATCCAAATTTAAACCTCCTATTATCTGAAACAACATTCAAGTTGAGGAGCATGACCTCCTATGAGACAACAGGATGATCAGATAAACGAGGCAGAAGGAACAGCTCAGTTATGTATATTAACCCAGTTGATTTTAAGTAAGTTCAAATCTATTTGTAAATGTTACTGTGTGATTTATGATTAAAGTACATGTAGTAAGATGTTCTGAAATCATTGCTTTTATAAAATTCCAGTTACATGATTTTAAATTTATTAAAACTGTGTTACCATATACACTATGTCCAATTAACATCTAATCCTGATACAATTACTAAATATGTCTAGGAGCCTGATTCCGCTATGCTTTTTGGAAGAAAATTCTCACTGGTGTGAGAATAAGACAGCTCATTTGGGAAGGCTGTGTGTTTATGTTGCTTTCACTGATGCTAGGGCTAGTTTATGTCTGACTCAAGTCTACATGGTATAAGGCAGAGTTTCGCAACTGGTGGGACCTCTAGGTGGGGCTTGGGTTGTGGTGGCGAAACTGGAAGTGCCATGGCAGGACTTCTGGTTTTGCTTTTGCGCGCCTTGATTATATACTGGGAAATGAAATTATTCCTTAATACATGAAACCTAATCCCTCAATGTTGGGCAATATTGTCGGCATTCTGGTGTCTTACTAAATGCAAATGACTCTTTAATTAAATTATATCTCATTTCAGATCTTCTTAGGCAGAGGTAGGAATCAAATCTGGTTCTCTTACATCATAGCTGGGTACTTTATCTGGGCACTGCACCATTCTCGGAAATTGAGTCCTTAATTTCTGACACAGTACCCACATGAAACCCTTCCTTGGGAGTGAAAATGAACACTTTGCACTAAAGGAAGTGAGATATTCTAGTTTGCGTGTTGCAAGAGGCAATAAATAGATCAGTCTGATCTTAACTGAATTTTTATTTTGGTATGGCCTGTGGCGGGTGCAGAGATCCCACCTCAGGAACACAGCTGGGTATTCGTATCCCTCC